TCAACTCACCCTGTGCCCTCTATCTATCATCTATCTATCTATCTATCTATCTATCTATCTATCTATCTATCTATCTATCTATACATACATATAATTTTTTCCTCCAACTACCCTAATACTGACAAAGGTCTCATGAGTTATAAATATCATCTTTCCATGCAGGAATGTAAACAGTTCAACCTTAATAAGTCTCTTATGATTTCTCTTTCCTGTTTACCTCTTCATGTTCCACTTGAGTCTTGTATTTGAAAGTCAAATTTTCTATTCAGCTCTGGTCTTTTCATCAAGAATGCTTGAAAGTCCTCTATTTCACTGAATGACCATTTTTTCCCCTGAAGGATTATACTCAGTTTTGCTGGGTAGGTGATTCTTGGTTGTAATCCTATCTCCTTTGCCCTCCAGAATATTATATTCCATGCCCTGTGGTCCTTTAATGTAGAAGCTGCTAAATCTTGTGTTATCCTGATTGTGTTTCCACAGTACTTGAATTGTTTCTTTCTGGCAGCTTGTAATATTTTCTCCTTGACCTGGGAACTCTGGAATTTGGCTACAATATTCCTAGGAGTTTTCCTTTGGGATCTCTTTCAGGAGGAGATCTGTGGATTCTTTCAATTTCTATTTTGCCCTCTGGTTCTACTATATCAGGGCAGTTTTCCTTGATAATTTCTTGAAAGATGATGTCTAGGCTCTTTTTTTGATCATGGCTTTCAGATAGTCCAATAATTTTTAAATTCTCTCTCCTGGATCTATTTTCCAGGTCAGTTGTTTTTCCAATGAGATATTTCACATTCTTCTATTTTTTCATTCTTTTGGATTTGTTTTACAGTGTCTTGATTTCTCATAAAGTCACTAGCTCCAATTGCTCTATTCTAATTTTTAAGGAAGTATTTTCTTCAGTAATCTTTTGGACTTCCTTTTCCATTTGGCCAATTTTGCTTTTTAGGGCATTCTTCTCCTCATTGGCTTTTTGGGCCTTTTTGCCATTTGGGTTAGGCTATTTTTTAAGGTGTTATTTTCTTCAGTATTTTTTTGGGTCTCCTTTAGCAAGCTGTTGACTTGTTTTTCATGATTTTCTTGCATCACTCTCATTTCTCTTCCCAGTTTTTCCTCTACTTCTCTTACTTGCTTCTCAAAATCCCTTTTGAGCTCTTCCAAGGCCTGGGACTGATTCATATTTTTCTTGGAGGCTTTGGATGTAGGAGCTCTGACTTTGTTGTTTCTTCTGGTTGTATATTTTGATCTTCTTTGTCACCAAAGTAAGATAATATAGTCTGACTTTTTGTGCTGCTTGCTCATGATCCCAGCCAATTACTTGAGTTTTAAACTCTTTGTTAAGGTAAGAGTCTGCTTCCAATGTGGAGAATGTACTGTCCCAAGCTTTGGGGTTTATATAGCTGTTTTCAGAGATACTTGTAGGGACCTGTAAATTTTCAGTTCTTGCAAGGTGGTATAATAAGGGGTGAGGTGTTTACTCCTTTCCTGGCCTGTGCTGTGGTCTATTAGTGACCACAAGTACTCCTTTCTGTCCTGGAACTGTGAGGAAGGTTTCCTGTCCACAGCCACTACAAGCTCCACCGTGCCAGCACTCCTCCTCACCCCAGGACCCCTGTCCAGAACTGTGACCCAGATCCAAGCACGGGCAAAGCAAGAGATTCCTGCCTCAGCACCAGCAGAGAGATCCCTGCAATCCCCCTCTGATCAGCCACTCGATTCCCCCTCAGTCTGTGGGCAGGAAGCTCGGGAAGCAGCTGCCCACCCCAGGGCCGCATTCTTGGGGAACTGGATCTCAGACCCCGCCTTCCTCTCTGAGCACCGCAGAAACAGACTTTTCCCACTGACCTTCTAAGTTGTCTTTGGCATTGGTGGATTGAGGAGTCTGGAAACCACCACAGCTGCCTGTGATTCAGTCCTCTGAAGCCTGCTCCAGGTTCGCTGTGGCCTGCGCGCCCACGCTGCATTGTACTGAGCTCTCAGCCTAGTGCGATATACCTTTCTGATCAATCATCCAGGTTGTCTTGGGCTGGAAATTTGTTTCACTCTGTCTTTTTGTGGGCTCTGCTGCCTTAGAATTTGTTTAGAGCTATTTTTATAGGTGTTTGGAAGGGTTTGGGGGAGAGCTCAAGCAAGTTGCTGCTTTCACTCCACCATCTTGGCTCCGCCTTCCTGGAGGCCTTTCTCTTGGTCCAGCAACTCTTGTTTTCATTGTATCTGCTGGAGAGGTTCTTCATCTGGGATTCCAGGGGCTTATCCTTTCCACAGCTCAACTCTCAACTGCCAGGATTAGCTTTCTTTTGAGTCCATAGTAGGCTCTCTTTTCTGCTGCCAGAGATCACACTCTTTGAAGATCTTTTCTCCTCTGTGAAGCATGGTTTGTCTGGAGTCTGTCTGTATATCTGTTCCATCAGCTGTGTCTGAAGTTTTCTTGGACTGACAAACTCACAAACTGTGTGATGGCGTGTCTCCCTTTGGCCAAGTCACTGCTAGACACCATGACCAAAAGGGAAGGAGAGGGAAAACCCCTCCTTTCCTGAAGGGCTTTTCTCCATAAAGCATTCAGTAGCCTGGACTCCTCTAGACTCCCCAGGGCTTAGCTTTTTAAAGCCTCCAGGGGTATGGGTGATTTGTTAGCTCAGCCAACCGTGTTCTTCCCCTCTTTATCAATTAGAGAGGTTTTCACACTTTATAAAGGGATTACTGGATATGGCCAACATTTTACAGTTAGTTTAACACTTTGTTACCACATTAAAACTTCATTATCCATGACTAACTACATTCTGTGACTAAATCACCTGAGTTGGGGGAGAGGGAATCACATTCTCCCTTTCTTACACATTTATTCATTCATTCATTCATGGAGCTGATAATTGTAACTATGGGGATCACCAATGGAAAGATTGTAGAGAAAGAAGAAAAGAACGTTGTGGATAGAAATTCATTTATGGGATATCAGCATTTAATGAACCTGAAGAGGATGATAAGCCAGCATAGGAGATAGGGAAGGAACGGGTTCTGGACAGTACAGTGTCACAGAAACTGAGCTTTGTGAGGCTATCAGTGAGGAGAGGATAACTGGTCAACAATGTCAAATATCACAGAGAGTCCACAACAAAGAGGACAGAAAAAAATGACAACCTGGATTTATTAATTAGGTCATTAATGACTTTGGAGAGAACTGTTTCTGCAGAATGGTGGTTATGGAAGCCTGACTGTAGAGCTTTGATTCATGAGTGGGAGAGGTGGGGAAATAGAAGCATTGAGTATAAACTACTATTTAAAAAAATTAACTAAAAAAGTCAACAAGCATCTATTTTTCTCTCTTCCTCACTGCCAATTAAATAAACAAACAAAAAAGAAAAAGAAAACTTTGGTAACAAATACACATAGAGCAGCAAAGCAACCTCCCTCAATCCCCACTTTGGATTCTTCTTTCTAGAAGTTTGGCAGTAAAGGGAGAGAGACTGGCTAACTTGAGGAGGTGTAAAGGGTTAAAGGGAGTTTTTTGGGATAAAGGATTTTTTAAAAGTATGTTTGTTGGTTCAGCAGAGAAAGAGATTGAAAATGCATGGGGGGGGATGATTTAATGGAATAAAGTGATGAAGGAGATAGGAGGGGTTAGGATACAGGTGGAAGGGTTAGCTTTGGAAATAAATGTTTGTTGAACTGAATTGTCAAGGAGGAGAGCCATTTCTTCTTTTGAGACTGGAGGGAAGGAGGAAAGGAAAGGAAAAGATATATAGGAGTTTGGAACAACAAAAGCATGAAATTTACAAAGGATGACTTCATTTTTCTTGGTAAAGTAATGAGGAAATCATTTGCAAGGAGTGAGTAGAGTTAGAGGTCTGAGCAAAGAGAAGATTTGAAATAGCTAATAGAGGGAATCTGAAAGACAATCAATAAGACATGAAGAATCTGTGTAGCAGATTCCTTCCCAGGGTACACTATAGAAAGTAGTCTGATGAAATGTGCATCAGTAAGGGCTCAGTTGAAGCATGAATTTACTGACATGATCAGTACCATTTCATGATTTTCTCTGTAAGCACACAGTAAGCTGCTTAAGAGTAGGATAGAGGCTGCAGAATTACCTGGGGTAAATGTTAACAAAACAGGGATGGCAAAAAGTCAACAGGGCCAGGGATTCGATGGTGGAGGAAAAGGTGTTACTGAAGCAGCTAGCATCTAACCAAAGATGCAGGCAGCTAGGTGATTCAGTGGATAGAGTACTTGGCCTGGAGTCAAGAAGACTAATCTTCCCGAGTTCAAATCTGGCCTCAGACACTTACTAGCTGTGTGAGTCTGGGCAAGTCACTTAACCCTGTTTGCCCTAGTTTCCTCATCTGTAAAATAAGCTGGAGAAGAAAAAGACAAACCACTCCAGTATTTTTGTCTAGAAAACCTCAAGAGGCAGCTGGGTGACACAGTGGATAGAGCTCTAAGCCTTGAAGTCAGGAGGACTTGAGTTCAAATGTGACCTCAGACACTTGACACTTACTAGCTGTGACCCTGGGCAAGTCACTTAACCCCAATTGCCTCACCAAAAAAACCCCCAAAAAACAAAAACAAAAAACAAACAAACCTCAAGTAGAGTCACATTAAGAGTTGAACACAACTGAACTACCAACAACAAACCATAGATACAAGACAGTATAAGGAAGGGTGTGAGGCCAGAAAAGGGTTGACAGAGGAAAGCAACTGTTATGGTAAGAGTAAAGGCATCAAAAGAGTGCAAGAACAGAAGACTGCAATCAGAATGAGGAAGTTTAGAGTGGAGGAGGTCAAGCAGTGGTTAGATGGTGACTCAAAACAGCAATAAGTAAGAGATGAGGGCTGTTCTATCACTTGGTGCTTAGGAAGGCCCAAAGGTGAAATGTATACTATGGCCCATATCCATCACTGTTGCCATCACCACCATCACCACCCCAAAAAGAAACCACATACAGTGATTGGCCCAGAAACTTGCCCCCTGAGGATGGTCTTGATAGCAAGGAAATAGGCAGGCTTACCTCTGGTATTAGTGTGTAGCAGTGGTAATGGCCTCTAAGACCTTCTGCAAAGTTCCTGACCACGGCCTATAGTGAAGGTGACAGAAAAAAGCTATTGTGAGTCCCGAAGAGAGTAATAATAATATTTTGGGGTTTACAACTCTTGGATAGATCACTGAACCTGGAGTCAGGAAGATCTGGGTTCAAATCCAGTCTCAGACACTTACTAGCTTTGGGCAAGTCACTTAACCTCTGTCTGCCTGGGTTTCCTCTTGTGTAAACCAGAGATAATAATAGTTCCTCCTTCCCAGGCTGTTGTGAGGATCAAATGAAATATCTGTAATGTATTTGGCAAATCTTAAAGCGCTATGTAAATGCTACTACTACTAGTACTGCTATTACTACCACTACTACTACTACTTATCCCCTGGAGCCCAAACTCTTCCTTCTTTCATTAATCCCATTTCCACAAATTCATTGCTTCCCATTTTGCAGGAGTGAAAACCGGGGCACAGAGAGGCAGAGTTTATAATCAAATTGACATAAGAACTGAAGTCTCTTAACTGTTCCTCCAAGCCAGAGATTAAGTCCAGATCTCTATGCCATAATGGCTTTTTTTCTGGTTCAGTGGGAAACCACCAAATGAGAAGCTTCCTACCATTGTAGGCACTTACCAGGGGCATGTGGTTGCTACATTTATAAGTGACAATCTGGAGGATCATATTCCTTCCCAGGGTGCACTGCAGAATGTAGTCTGATAGAATTTCTGGAGATTGATCTGGGCTGGGGAGAAGGACCAAGGTTCAAACAAGCCAGGTCATAGTGAGACAATTCCAAAGTAAAGGAGTTACTACAAAATGGTATGTTAGATTACTTATGCTCTATGCCTGTGGTTTCCTTCTGAGAAAGGCACCTGAACTTCCTAGGCAGATGGCTTTATACACAGTTCTCTAATCCTCAGTGTTGCCTCCTCTCTCTCAACATCGTTGGACTAGAATGTCTCAATGATCTTTTTCTCACCATTTTTCACTGGGAAGCTGCCAGAAGTGTGTGCATTTGAAAACACTAATCACAGGTTCCATGCCTGACAATCCTAGTTATTCAGGGACTATTTGAGTGCTTAGATTTAAGAATATCCTTTTTTACATCAATTTTTTCCTCCTCTGCCTACTTATTCTCCTTTTGTAGACATTTAAACAGTGCTATGTGGGGATATCTTAAAATACATAGGCTGGTGGGCCCAACATTCCTGCTATTAAAATAGTTACATCATAAAAAGAGTGTGTAGAATAATTTCACATTGCATGCTTCAGAGTGTCTTCTCTAAGGAGATTCTCAAAAGTATTCAGTTCTTCCTATCTTGTTCTAAAACGCCGTGTTCTTAGCTCTAGGATCCATGTAGCTTGGCCTCCAGGAATCTCTACACTTTAGACAAACTCCCTCTAATCAGTGCCATGGGAAAATCAGCATCAAAGAGAAAGCAGAATTGTACAGGCCAGAGCAAGGGCCAAAGGAAACCCCAAAGGTTTTCGTATCATCTCAAGAAAAGACGTTAGTGTTTCCAAGAAGGAAAAGAAAATTGCAGTAGGAAGGAAAGTCAAAAGTAGTCATGATATAATTTAATTCAAACATAGAACAGACCAGTTGATTAGGCTGATGAGATCACAGGCATGAGTTTAATTCTTCTATAGGCCAATCCTGATACAGATGAGTTAGCTTTGCATAGTTAATAACTTCATCTCTGGTTACAGCACTTCTTGCCTTATGTAACATTTTGTAAATGCATGCCACTAATCCCTAGGAGAAGTAGGAGGAGAGAGAGCTTAGTTTGAGGGACCCATTCTTCCAATAGGAAACCCAACTTAAAGCAACATCTGATGATGGATTAATAGCTAAATTTCACATCTGAAAGATGGCAGAATTTTCTAGTAGCAAGACAAAATGTCCTTTTAATTTGTCTCAAAGTTAGGATACATTCTTACATGCGTAGTCTCATGTGCATAGCAAAAATGATTTTTTGTCTCAGTTCACATTGTTGTCCACTTGGGAAAAGGAACCTACCAGCTGCCTATGATGACTACCAAGGAATTCAGCTCCTTCTTCATGAGGGCTTTTCTCAGAGCTTGGAGTAAATTGCTTCCTCCACGGGGCTGTAACATCTGTACCCACTCCTTAGCTTCCTGGAGTCTGAAGAGAGGACAAAACTGAGACCAAGACCCAAATTCCTAACCAACGTCCTGGGAACTATCCCCACTTTCGCCTAAAGTACTGAGCTATCTTTCTTTACTTAAAATGTTTCCCATGGGGCAGCGAGGTGGTGCAGTGGATAGAGTACTGGCCCTGGATTCAGGAAGACCTGAGTTCAAATCCAGCTTCAGACACATAACACGTACTAGCTGTGTGACCTTGGGCAAGTCACTTAACCCCATTGCCTAGTCAAAAAACTAACAAAAAAAAAAGAAAGAAAAGAAAATGTTTCCCATGGCCTTTGCTACTACTGACTTGACTCAGAGTGGGAACTCCCTTAGGGCGTGCAATGGACCAGCTTTGGATCAGCACAGAGCCATAAGCTCTCATAAATGAGATGAAGAGAAAGATGAAGAAACAGATGACAGAAATGAACTTTATTCAGGTACTTGTGACTTGATTAGGATTAGATTGTCACTACAGCTAAACTGATATCTGGTTTCCTTTGAGACAGGCTCAGGGAAAAAAGTTAGGCAAAATGTCATCAGCAAAAAAACTTATTAAGCTCCTAGTAATGCACAGTACTGTGCTGGATCTCCATGTATGGCAGGAATTCTTAACCTTTTTTGCCTCCTGAACCCTTTGGGCTGCCTGGTGAAGCCTATGGGCCCCTTCTCAGAAGAATGCTTTTATTTTTTAATAGTATGTCACTTTCCCCAATTATACGTAAAGACAATTTTTAACATTCATTTTTAAACATTTTTAGTTTCAAATTTTCTCCCTCCCTCCCCCTCACTCCAAGACAGTAAGCAATTTGATACAGGTTATATATGTGCAATCATGTAAAACATATTTCCATATTAGTCATGTTGTGAAAGAAGAAACAGACCAAAAGAAAAAAAACATGAAAAAAAATAAAGTGAAAAATAGGATGCTTTGACCTGCATTCAGACTCCAGTTCTATTTCTGGAACTTGAATAGTATTTTTCATCATGAGTCCTTTGGAATTGTCTTGGAGCATTGTATTGCTGAGAATAGCTAAGTCATTCACAGGTGATCATCGCACAATGTGGTGGTTACTGTGTACAGTGTTCTCCTGGTTCTGCTCACTTCACTCAGCATCAGTTCATGTAAATCTTTCCAGGTTTTTCTGAAATCAGCCTGCTTGTCATTTCTTATGGCACAATTGTATTCTGTTACAATCATATACCACAATTTGTTCACCATTCCCCAATTGATGGGCATCCCCTCAATTTCCAATTTTTTGCCACCACAAAAAGAGCTGCTATCAATATTTTTGTACACATAGGTTCCCCCTCCCCCCTTTTCTCTCTTTGGGATACAGACCTACTAGTGGTATTGCTGGATCAAAGGGTATGTACCATTTGATTGCCCACTGGGCGGGAAGAATGTTTTTAAATGCATAAAATAAAAATACATAAGATTTTAAAGGAAACCAGTATATCACAATATAGTTATCAAAATATTTTTAAAAACCACACACAAAGACCCCCTGAAATTTAGCCATGGATCCCTCAGGGATCTGTTAGTTAAAAATGTCTGATCCAGAGTACAGGGAACCCTAGAAGTTTTTAACATTAGGTAGACGCAAACACTGGGCTGGTTGGTTGCTGTCCTTCATTCTCAAAGAGGACCAAAATGACATCACTATGTTGGAGTCAAGGTACAGTGTCTCTGACTGCGGCTGAGCAGACCAGTATGAGCTCAGAAGGCCCTACCACAGGTCAGGCACAAATAGTCCACATGAACATTCGGAATGGAGATGTCTCTGAATTTGCACACCTCACATTTCTTTTGAGGGACTGCAATTCTGCTTCACTCACAGAGCACAATGCCTTTGTCCATGTGGGCATGCCATCCATGCTGGGTGGTCCTTTGCTAGTGCCTCCCAAGTCATGCAATCCGATTCCAAAGTTCAGAGAGACCTTGAGAATGTCCCTGTGTCACTTCTTTTGACCACTACATGAGTGCTTGCCTTGTGTAAGATCTCCATAAAATAGTCTTTTAGGCAAACACACATTTGGCGTTTGAGCAGCCCATCAGAGTTGTGCTCTCTGCAGTAGAATTTGAATGGTTGGCGCTCAAACTTTAGACAGGGTAGTGTGGTTGGCTGCACTGGGTGCAACCCAGGGACTGGGGCTCAGAGGCACCAGGACTTTGTGCTCTGCAAATCAGAAGTGTGCCTTCACATGGAAAAGACCTTTTTCCATCTAGGGTAGGGGTTCTTAATTTGGAGACTGTGAACTTACTTTAAAAAAATATTTTGGGGCAGCTAGGTGGCACAGTGGATAGAGCACCGGCCCTGAAGTCAGGAGGACCTCAATTCAAATCTGGCCTGAGACCAAACACTTGACACTTACTAGCTGTGTGACACTGGGAAAGTCACTTAACCCCAATTGCCTAATATATATATATAATACATATTTTTTTCCCCTCAAAATGGCATTTTAGTATAATTGGATTCCTTTATAATCCAATGTATTTTATTTTATGCATTTAAAAACCTTCTGAGAAAGGGTCCATAAGTTCATCAGACTGCCAGAGAGTACCCTGAAAAAAAAAAGGTGAAGATTTCTTGGGTTTTTTTGCATGATTTCACATATAAAATCAATATCATATTGTTTGCATTCTAAGAACTGGGGGAGGGGAAAGGGAGAGAATTTGGAGCTCAAAATTTTAAAAAATGAATATTATAAAAATGTTTACATGTAATTGGGAAACATTTAACAAAATAAATAGAAATATATTTTAAACAGATTTCTTGCTAAGAAATTCTTGGTCCTTGGAATTTACTCTGGTTTCAGAAGTTCCCAGCTATTCCAGTCATTGTAGGGCTTTGTCTCCTGACTTTCTATCTACTGTGCTTCTTGCTCCCATTCTTCCATGAGAACACATGGATGGTTTTCAACCTCACTGTTGGAGGGACCTCCTCACTTCGACTCGAACCAGATCTACTGAAGTATGGAAGCACTCCTACTGTCTTGCTTTCCTCGGTCTATCCTGTTCTGATTGTTTTAAATGTCACCACTGTTGGATGCAGCACTCACTTGGACTTATTGACCTTCACTGGATTTGGCCAGAGGACTGAGGGATGGGTGCCAAAGGAGAGAAGGTACAAGTGCTCTTTTTTGCTCAGCTGCTCATCTATAAGACTCTGTGGGACAAATGGAAATAATAAAACCAAATAACTTTAGAGTTGGAAGGGACTTTAGAAGTTGTCTAGTCCAATCTCCCACCCACAGACAAAGCAATAAAAAATACCCTTCCAGACTGGCATGTCGTTTAAAAAAAAAAAAGCCTGCCTCAGGATCCATTTAAAGAAGTTGTTCACATCGTACTGGGCTCTGACTCCGCTGACTCTCCCTTATCAGACTAAGAGCTTTTTGTGAGCAGGGACTGTCTTTTGCCTTTCTTTATATCCCCTGTGCTTAACACAGTACCTGGCACATACGAGGTGCTTAATAAATGTTTATTGACTAACTGACTTACCCATAGAGTATTAGAGTTAGACAACATGATAGAAGTCATCCTATCCCAAAATCCCATTGCACGTTAGAATCTCATCTACAAAATTCCTGAATGAGATTTATCCACCCTATGAATACCTTGAGGATGGGAAAGTCATTACCTCATAAGGCAGCCCATTCCATTTTTAGACAGATTTGTCAGGAAAATCTTCCTTCTCCTGAGCTGAAATCTGTTTCTCTGTAACTTCTACCAACTGGCCCTAGTATTGCCCTCTGGAGCCAAATAGAACAAGCCTACTTGTGATGGAATGGATCAGTTTCAATCTGAATCCATCTGGGGCCTGTATCTTTTTTGTAATGTGTGAAACTGAAACACTGAAAATTCATTGCTCCAAGCATCTAGATTAGTCACTGTCAGAGAAAGAACATCATCTACTTTTAAACTGGGAAGATTCACAAAGGAAAAAAAAAATCAGGGTATCTAATGACATCAACCTTATAAATGGACCTATGTGGATCTCCAGTGGTGTTCCTTTTAATTTATTTAAGTTATGAGCAGATGACCAGGATCCAGGTAAGAAATGCTTAAATTTGAGCGAAACAGAATAGTAATTCCATTCATTTCCTTCCCATTGTGTTTCCATGGTGGAGGATAGACTGGTGACGAGGGTGCTATTTCAACACCTGGCTGTGGGGGGGGGATGGCAATGGGTCACCATGGGTTGGTGGTTTGTTTTGGCAAGCAGATTGCTCATGCTGTCAACTCCACAGTTTTGTATCTCCACTCACTCCTGCTCATCCTTGCAAAAAGTTCTCTCGTTGGCATCAACTTCCTCTGATGTACTTTACTTGTTGCTCTTTGAATTTGATCTGTTAGGATTGCCCTCAGAGAAAAGGTGAATGAGAGAAGCAGAAAGATGGGGTCCTTAAAGGTGAGCCCATAGTATCTCAGAGAGATGTGGCTTGGGATCTTCCTAGAACCCAAACATATGACATACAGCCTTTAGAGCAAATGTGGCTTGTCTGCCTCTAAGATACGGCCTGTTTGGGATTTTTAGGAAATATTTTTAAAAATCTAATTAGCATACATAACAGTAAAGCTTATTACTTCCATTGTGGCAGTCATACATCGATTAGTAATAGAAACTGAGAGTAGTAGACTTGGAGCCAGACTTGAAGACCTGAGTTTGAATCCTAATTCAGACACTTAGCTGCGTGACTCTGGGAAAGTTACTTAATTTTTCTGAGCCTTAGTTTCCTCATCTATAAAATGAGGATTAAAACTTCACCTACCTCATAGGGTTGTGGTAAAGGATCAAATAAGGTAACATATGTAAAGTACTTCACAAACCTTAAAGGGATATATAAATGCTGGCTATTATTATTATACAATCAGATTAATATGGCCTGTACACTTAATAGATTTATGATCACACAACCTACTACTGAAAACTTGAGAGCCCTTATCATGATGACATCCTTTAGATATTTGAGTAGGCAAACTATTGTCCTCATTTTTTCTTTGTAAATATTCTTGGTTTGAAGGAAAATGACATAGCCTTATCATGGAACGTGGTCATCTCCTGCCAACTTAAAAGAAATGAAAGGGAATACTACCTGAGACCCATGTGGGTCCATGGGTCAATATTATTGGATCCTATTTAAATGAAATCCTTTAGGTATTGGAGTAAGTAAACTTATCTTGATTTTTTTTCCCTTTAGGAATATTCCTGATTTAAAGGAAGATACTATGCTCTACCATTGACACTGACTGATCTGGATACTTTGGAGAAGTATCTTAGCATGGGGCTCCCAACCAGGTCAAGCATAATGCATTCTGTCAGCATGGATGCAGAGCACACAGTCAGTTTCCAGGCCACCTGGCAGTACTATATACTCCTGTCTGGGCTCAAAGACCTCCTGCTTCCATCTCAACTCTCATTATTGACTTATACTATCAACAATCCCTCTCCCCGAGGGATAATCTTTTCTGGAAGTGGAAAGTATCTCTAAGGAGAAGTTGTACCACACCATATTCTGTAGAACCAGAGATTTAGAGCTGAAGGGGACCTTAGAGGCCATTGAATCAAATCTCCTGATTTTACAGATGAGGAAACTGAAGAATAGAAGAGGTTAAGTGATTAGTGTCTGAGGCAGAATTTGAACCCAGGTCTTTTTTACCCATTGCTTGTTCACTGCTTACATCACACTGCCTGTCAAAAAAATTCCACAAGCAGAGGATGGTGAGTAAAGTGACAGGAATTAATATCCAATAGGATCCATCCTAACTGAAGGCATGATCCATTTATGGGCTCACAATTCTTGGAGGAAATCACTTGAAATGAACTGTAATAGGGTGCCATTTCACCATGCAAGTGCAATTGAGGTGAGAAGCTTAGAAAATCTGACTGCAATTACTATTGCAAACACAATAAATTTTTGTCTGTTTGGTATCTTAGTGTTAATGAACCATTCTTGTTGAAAAACAAACAAACAGGGGCAGCTAGGTGGCACAGTGGATAGAGCACCGGCCCTGAAGTCAGGAGGACCTGAGTTCAAATTCAGCCTCAGACCAAACACTTGACACTTACTACCTGTGTAACCCTAGGCAAGTCCATTAACCCCAATTGCCTAAAAAATAGTAAAGACAAACAATTTAGGGGGCAGCTAGGTGGCACAATGGATAGAGCACCGGCCCTGAAGTCAGGAGGACCTGAGTTCAAATCCAGCCTCAGACCAAACACATAACACTTACTAGCTGTGTGACCCTGGGCAAGTCACTTAACACAATTGCCTAAAGGCAAAAAAATTAAAAATTAAAAAAAAAAAGAAAAACAAACGAACAAACAACAAAACACCAATATCAGAAATCCCCCTTGTGGATTTTTACAATTGAACCTATTTTGCAAATTTGATGTTAACCTCCTACTCTTCTAATTCCTGTCATTGTGAATAACACACAGACACTGAACAAGTCATTCAAGCCTGCAGGGAGACTTCTTTCCCCTGCTGCCCCTCTCTTACATTCATCCCTCTCCAGTTTAGTAGGATGGTACAGTGTAAAGTGTCTGGATGGAACCCTAATTCAGAGTCAAGAGGCCCTGTGTACTAATCCTACCTCTGCCACGTATCACCTTTCAGACCTTGGGCAAGTTGTTTAATCTCTCTTGTCTTCAGTTCCCTGACTATAAAATGGTGTCTAACTACACCAGGGGTTCATAACCTTGGGTACACAGACCCCTTAGAAGTCTGTGAACTTGGATGAATGGGAAAAATTGCATCTTTACTTTTGCTAACCTTTGGTTTCCCTGGTAATCCTATGCATTTTATTTTACGTTTTTAAAAACATTATTAGAAATAGTTCATAGGCTTCACTAGACTGCTCAAGGGATCTGGGACACAAAAAATTAGAAACCCCTGCTCTAGATGGTCTTTAGCAACGTCCCTTCCGGCTCTAAATCTGTGATATCCAGTTCCTATCCTCCTCTGCCTGCACATTCTCCTATGGCAAATTGTTAAGAAACTTTTTTTCATCCTTGACTTTTTCCCCCCTCAAACATCTCTTTATCCTTTATCACCTTCTCCATTGCTTATTGCATTTCTCATGCTACCTGACTGTAGGAGGAGATACCATCTTATTCCCGGTTTCCCATTTACCCCTGGAAATCCTAGTTTGCTTTACCCTTTTGCTAGTCAAGAACTTCTTCCTCTAATGCCTGGAACTCTTTCTTAACATCTCCCACTCTCAAAGTCTTTCTGTCCTTTCATAGCTCAGCTGTGGGCCTTCCTTATCCACCCAGCTCAAAGTGACTCTCTCAGTCTCGTCTAGTTTCTTCTGTGTGCTCATCACATTCTAATTCCCGTGGTGGTTATTTGCACAAATCTCTAGACTCCTACTAGATTGTAAACCTTCTGGGGGCAGGAAGTGGTTTTTGTTGTTGTTGTTTTAACTTTGTGTCTCTCTGGCCTATGATAGCAAAGTCCCTTGAAAATAGTAGACGCTTCATGAATATTTGTTATTGAACTGAGGAAGGCAGAGTTGCTTTTATTTTTTTCTAGTTTAGAAGAGCTACTTACCAACAAGTCATGTTGGAACTCCTGCTTTTGAAAGTTACAGCTCATGTTTGAAACGTCCACCAGGACTCCAACTTTAGTCCCCTTTAGGAGGCCAAATATCTAAAGGCAAAGAAGTTTGTTGAATCAGTGAATCAGTGGCACCTTATATAAGGTGTCCCAAAAGTCTTTGTGCAGTTTTAAGCTATTTAAACTCGGACTGGCACTAAGACTTTTTCGAAGGCACTAAGACTTGGGTTATTAAAGCTAAAAGTGCACCAAGAATTTTAGGAAACTCTGTACTTCTCTGATTATCAAACTGTGAGAAGCTTTAGAGATTTAACAGTTTCCATCATTTAATCATGAGACCCAAAGTGCACTATCTCTGTTAAGGTCCTTGCTACTGAGGCAGAAGAATTGGAGCTCCAGAGCTGGCTCAGTGCTACTTACTTCTGTCTCTTGGCAGAAGATGGTGCTAAGATGAGGCTAAAACTTTGTCCCCCATCTGCTTCTGTGCCTATTCCTCCAGTCTGAGGATTATTCTTTTTCCAGAAGTAATATTGATGTTGATACCATACAGGACATTAGCCTGGGTGTGTGTGTGTGTGTGTGTGTGTGTGTGTGTTGCCTTTCTTTGTATCCCCAGAGCTTAGCACAGTGCTTGGCACATAGAAAGTGTTTCATAAATACTAGTTGACTGGCTGAAGCCAAGCCCTGGGCTTGATCGACCCCTTTAAAAAAATCTGTGAGGATGTCCAAGTCTGGCACATTCTCAGAATCCATAAAACACCATTGAGGTATAAAAATATTGTTGAAGAACTCAATCAGAACAGATCTGGAGGCCTCTCCCTTAGAAAGCCACAGAGACAGGTCACAATAGGTCATGACATAAAGCAACTCTCCTCTCCCAAAGCCACAAATCAGCCACTGGGCTAATTTCCCGTAAGTCATATTCTGCTCATGTGGACCCTCCCTTGCCCTGGCCCTGCCATGCTTAGAGCAGAAATGCTAGCATATGGAGAGAGTTTCTGGAGAAAAACAAAGAATATGGAAACCCAGGGGGTGCTTTGTGGACTCCTTGTCACTCTCAGTTTCAAGGCTCTGCTAAAGACAAATGTCCCAGTCTTGTTGGACTTCATCCTGATCTCAAACCCTGGGCCCACTGATTAGGGTTGTCTTTAGTGCCCAGGTGAATTATGTAGCCATTTGGCCCTTTGCTCAGATAAAACTTCATACAGTAAGATTAATTAGGCATTATAACTCACACTCCTAATCGTGATAGACAGTTTGCAAAGCACTGTGCTCACAACAACTCTGCAAGGTAGGGTACTCTAAATATTATTATCTGTATTTTACAGATTAAGAAACTAAGGTTTCATGACATTAAGGGACTTACCTAAAGTTGGAACCTGGTGACTGACTCAGCTGGGACTTGAATCAAGGTCTTCTGACTTCAAATCCAGTGCTCTTTTTCTAATATAAACTTACAGAAAACCTAACCCAACCCTTATTTTGCAGGGAAGGAAACTGAGGCCCATGGAGTTTTTAATGACTTATTCATTGGCTAACCTGGGACTGTCCTTTAGATACTTTCCTGACTCTCAGGAAGATTAACTCTCATTTATCCAGAGAGCTTGACGATAAAGTTTGTTGACTATCCGGGTTCCTTTAGTTCTGTAGCCTCTTCTGCCCATACCTATGGTTATTTCTAAATTTTTTAGCACCTAAACTATTAGGGTACAGAAGCAGGAATTGTCTGCTCTCTGCCAATAGTTTCAATAGAGACATATTGATGTTGTTACTACTATTGGGCAAATTTGTATTTCTGGATCATCCATTTGTTTCATCCTTCTGTGTTTTCCTTGCCCCTATTACCATGGCAATCCGAAGAGTCTGTGATATAGACGGTCATCCATTTGATAATAAAGCAGTTAGATGGCACAGTGGATGGAGTACTCAGTAGGACATGGAGCCAGGAAGGCTGGAGTTCAAATGCAACCTCAAACACTTTCTAAACTGTGTGACCCCGGGCAAGTCACTTAACCTTTGTTAGCCTCAGTCTCCTCATTTGTAAAATGAGGATAATAAATAGCACCTACCTCCCAGGGTTGTTGTGAGGATCAAATGAGATAATATTTATAAAGTGCTTTGCAAACCTTAAAACACTATATAAATGCTACCTGTGATAATAATAAATTATATCATTAAGGAAAGGGAGCTTCCTTTAAACTATAAGTTGTACCCAGCAAGAAACTGGATTTCACCTTTAATAGGTAGCCAGCACCTTAATCTCATAGGATCACCTACTTTTTTTTTGGGTTAGGAGGGGTGGAAAGTTTTGGTGTCAACTTGAGAATTAGAGAAACAGGTACACTTATATATTTCTGGTGGAACTGCAGATTAGCAAAACCTTTTTTTTGGTCTGTGTGTGTGGGTAATCTGGTAGAATATGAAGTCACAAAATTCAAATTATAGTGTAACATGAAAATCTGATCTAATGATCTCATTATTGAGAATATCCCCAACCCTGGGAATATACAAAACGTATATTTCTTACTAACTACACTGCTTATTTTTTGCTTCACCATCAGCCCCCGTGAGCCCCACCCCACCCCACCCATGATAAACTTTTCACCAGGACATCATGGAGATTGCTTCAACTTTGGTACTCACACTTCAGCAATACCTCCAGTTGCCTCTGTCCTTCTATCAGAGGTTGGACAGTGGAGCAAAACGTTCCTCCCAAAGTTTCCTTTTGAAGAGAAGCTTAGCCAGCTGTTCATTTCCTACCAGGTTCACTGCTTGGTTTTGATTCCATGGCATCATCATGCCCCGGCAGCAGTGTGTACCCTCTGCCCCCCTCCCTCTTTCAGTTTCCTTTTTGTGTGTCTTCCCCTGTTAAGATTACTAGCACAGGACGTTTTTTTCTTATTTGCATCTCCAGTGCTTAGTGCCTGGAACATGGAAGGTGCTAAATCAATGTTTATTGTCTTTGTATTTTAAGTGTCATAACATTAAAAAAAATGACTACCAGTGTGACCTTGGGAAAGTCACTTAACCTTCTGGATCTGGATACTGTATATCAGAGTAGTTGATTGAAATGGGTGAGTGAAAAGAAGAGAAGGGCTGGGTACATGATGAGGGCGAGGCACAACAGGTGGACTGCCCCGGTGCTCCTACTGGTATCTTCCAGATGTGAGGAGAAATTGAGGAACACACTCAGCATGTTGTTGGGTGGACCCCACCCTGTGGTTAACTTAGGGGAGGACAGGGAAGGAGTCACACATGGGCAGGCATGGATGGCTTGTTGGAGGTTATAGGTTGCATTGTTTTATACATCACAGATCCATTTGATGACATGAATGTAAGAGGATACTGTTGTGCTATTAAAATGACAAGTATGAGGAACATTAAAAATGACTTTATAAGAAGTAGTGCAAAGTGGTGAAAACAGAATCATAAGGATATACACCCTGTCTATGACTACCTAAAAGAAAAATATATACAGAAATGGAGAACAAGGATACTGAGGGGTGAAAAGCTGTTCTTAGTTAATGTATAAATTAACTTAAATAAATAGTTGGTAACAAATAATGTATAAATTAAATAGTTGGCAATATGTCAAGTATATATGATATGTATGTACATATATTTCTAATTGGTTTTGTTACTGTTTAAAGTATATATTGAGTATACACAATAAATAACTAATATATTAACATTTTATAATAATAAATATTTTAAACATATTATTTAAAAATTTATGAAATGCCTAGAAGTTAAGGGTTCAAGGAAGATGTTGCCAATTTTTTAATGAAATGGATTATTATGATATGCTATTGTTAGAATCATGAATATTATATTTAATGAAATAACGAATAATAACACAAAGTAAAATACTTTATAGTTACAGGGTAGTTTATGCCCTTTATCTTGTTGGATCCTCACAGCAATCCCTTTGGCAGATGAATCAGAAATTTTATTTGTGCCCATTATACAGATGATAAAACTGAAGCTCAGAGAAGTCAAATGACTTCTTTACCCACCACATTGCTTATAAGTGACAGATTTGAACCCAGGACCTCTAATTTTAAGTCAATTTTGAATATGGCCTTGAGGTGAAAAGATGAGAATAAGGGGTACCTAGATGGCTAAGTGGATAGAGCATCAGCCCTGGAGTCAGGAGGACCTGAATTCAAATTTGGCCTTAGATACTTACTAGCTGTGTGATCCTGGGCGAGTACTTACCCCCAACTGCTTCAAAAAAAAAAAAAAAGAAAAGAAAAGAAAAGAAAGAGAAGAGAATAAACGGGGCAAAGAACAAAACTTTTACTTTTGTTACCTTCCTGCTGCCTTCCATGAGCCACTGAATTCTTTTCTGAAAGGTTTCAATAGCTCTGTCAAGACACAAGCAAAGCTGTGAAAAATCTTGCCCACTGACTTTTACCTCTTTTACTTTTAACTTTTTTAAAGTTTTTTTTCACATCCATGTCACATTTGTTCTTAAGAACAACTCTGTGAAGTTGGCACAAGGCATCATATGATCCCCATTTTACAACCCCGAAATGCTCAAGTGACTTGCCCCAGGTCAATGAAAGAAGCAGAACTTGCACTCGCGCCTTCTGATCTCTTTTTACTGTCTCCCTGACTCTAGTCCTCATACTTAGTTTGTTTTAACAGGAGATGCTCTGATGTGTTTGTCTCCTAGTTACCTTCAAAATGGGACACACTGTTTCAATGAATGATTCAAAATACCTTGTCCACAGGAAGTTTGGTGGAGAATCCTTGAAGTCATCTTTGACACTTCTCTCTCCTCCTTACCACCAATCACCAGGTTTCTTCAGGTTCTCCTTCAAAATGTTTTGGGCCCATCATTTCCCCTCTATTCCTGCTATTCACACACCAGGCCAGGCTTTCGTCATCATTTCACACCTATATTACTGTTTTAGTTGAATGGTCCAGTCTCTTCTGCCATCTTTCCATGTTGCGTGTGGTTGAGAGAGTATTTTTTTTCTAAAAACGCTGCTCTCATTGTGTAATTCTCCCATTCAGAAATTTTCAGTGGGTTTCCCATTATCTACAGGACAAAGTCCCAGTTCCTTAGCTTGGCATTCAAGGACCCCACAGTTTGGATCCATCTTCACTTTTTTATCTTCTACCAATTTTTCACATGAAAAGTCTGCTTCTAGACCGGACTGTTTCACCATCTATGGAACAAGCCATTCTTCTTCCCAATGCTAAGCCTTTGCCTGTTAACCTGTTTCTCCCACTCAGAATGCTCTCACTCTTCTCCATCTTTCAGGGTCCCCACCACTTATTGGCACTTAGTTGAAGGTCTGAGGATCACAGGATCTTAGACGAAGGGCTAGAAGGGCCCTCAGAGGCCGTTGAGTCCAGCCTCATCACTTTTCACAACCACATCAATCACTGATCCAGAGCTCTTTTCATTTTGCCCTTGCAATGCTAATTAACCCCTTCATCTCATATCTTTCCCCTTCTTTCCCCTTCCTGTTTTACCTTCCTACCTCCCAGCAATAAGATCACAAACCCCTGGAGGATAGGAGCATTGTCTGGCATGCTCTTACATCCATAACACTTAAAGTGGTTTGGAATGTAGTAGGAATCTAGTAAGCTTAGATTGTAAGCTCCTTGAGGGCAGGGACTGTCTTTTGCTTATTTTTGTATCCCCAGTGCTTAGCATGGTGCCTGGCACATAGTATATGTTGTATCAATGTTAACTGAATGAATTGAATAATACAAATCCTTTGAATTAGTCAACTATCTAGGTGAATGACTAGCAAAACTCTGCATGGGCAAAGTGTCCAGAAGGAAAGAATTCCAGCAAATTTATTCGAGAGAGCCTAGCACAAGGCCTTATGGAACTGTGCCACATTTAAAATATTATCTCTTGAAATGAAATGTTACCAATGCTTCTTGGCTGCTGGGGCTGTACTTACTCAGAAAGTCTTGATTCAAAGAGGTTGACAGCCTTGATTGGAAAGTGGATTTTTTGCATGACGCTGCTGTTCTTGTTCCTAAAGGGAGAATATGTCATCATGAACTGCCGTCCTTCCTAGGGGAAAGTGGAGGGACGGAAGCAGGGATAGAGATGAGGATTAGAGATGGCCGAAGGGAAGGTTATTTTTCAATTTCAGACTTACAGAACAGCTGTGCCCTGGCTGATCAGATCCACCAATGTAAGCTTCTGGTATGTCAAACTGTGAGTGTCAAACCATTCTTCTGAGCCTTTCTTAGGTGGGGTCTGGGGCTCTTTTTCATGTCCTTTCTGAAAGATGGTAAGCCAGGAGCAAATTAGCAGTTAAAGGAGAGTGTATAGGTGGAGAGGTTCCCCAGGTTTCCTTTGCACTAATACCCAGGTGATGCCCGCCCTATCTAGATCCAAGCCCAGGAAAACATTCAGTCACCTCACAGGAAGGCAGCTGTTTACAAGAGGTATCACTCAAAAAATGCTTGTGTCCTAGGTGAGTTCCAGGAGCTGTACCCCTTGCCTCAGTCTCCTGCCTCAATGTACAGAGCCATTACCATTTCTGAATTATTCATTTGGTATTTACCATTTGCCCTCTATGTTGTCAATTATCTTTTCTTGTGTCAGGGTGAGGGATTATTTCTTGTTTTTCTTTGTACCCACAAAACATTTAATACAATGCTATATGCACATAGTAAGCGTCTAATAATGTTTGCTGGTTCTTTGAAAACAATGTTTGTTCTCTGACAATGCCCAAAACTAACTAGATAAAGCATTCCAAATATTAATCTTTCAACACTCTTGAGTGTCTACAGTGTGCAGAGCTCTGTGGGAGGACATGTAAGAAAGAACAGATAAGGAGTCTGAAGCAACTTCAGACATACTAATTCAATGCAATTTAACAAACATTTATGAAGCCTGTGCTAGGAACTGGAGATACTCAGACAGTCTAATGGATCTTTGATCTCATCAATTTGGAAGTTTCCTGCTTCCATTGTTGTGAAAATCACAATCCAGCCAGGCCTGGCCATCCTGTGCTATTTCTTGCCCAAGTCTGTCACTAAGTTTCCCGCAGGGGGTCCGCTCCACATGCTCGGAGACCTTCCTTGCTTTTTCCTACATAACAGTGGTTCCAGGGGAATCCTCTGGCTGTCCCCTTTTCATCTCATTTAATTCCTTAATGTTATCTATTAGTCCCATTTTTCTTTGGAGTTCCTCATTGGTTATGTGTCACATTCTACCCATGTTCATCATGTATCTCTTCATTTTCCTTTGTATGGTACTGATTTTTAAAATTCTTTTGAGACTGTTGTATTCCCTGTCTTACTGCCATATAGCAACACACAGAGGATGCTTCTATTTAAAAAAAAGTGGTCCTTTGTTTTCATGGGAAGCTTGGGTCATTAAAAAGAGCTTCTCAATTTCCCAAAGGCAATCCCAACTTGTTATCCATCTGTACTGTGTGTCCCAGGTACACATAATAATGGACAAACTCTATTAAGTTGTCCATCCAAACGTATGTCATGATCTAGGGCTAGGCAATGGATGTCTGTCATCTGCTTGGTCTTTCATGTGAGAATGGTCAAGCTTACCTCTTTTGACTGATTCCTGACTACCCTGATCCAGGAGACTCTGCAGTTCTAAGGCTTAATGCAATAAACACATTATCCACAAATAGGAGCACCTAGAGGACCTCGCCATCAACAGGAAATCTCTCTCCAACTTGGACTGTCTTGGATATCCTCCTTCACAGTGGAAAGCACTTGTGGGTAGCATACATCGACCTGCCTTATGACTCACCAGATATCTGTGAATTTGCGACATCTGGATAGGACACACCTTGTGTTAAGAAAGCCCTCGCTGTAGCATTGGGCACTATCAAATCAAGTAAGTACAGTGGGATCTAATAATCTCTCTGAGTCACTGGGGCCACCAAGAGAGAGAAGAGGAAGAAGGGATAAGCATTTACAGGAGCCTGCTATGTGCCAGGCACTGTGCTAAAGGCTTTCAACAGATTCTCTTTCGTTTGATCAAAAGGGCATAGTCACAGCCCTCAAGGAGCTTAGTTTAGCAAAGCAGAGGGGTTTGAGAAACACAGATAATTGTGTTATAAAATAATTAAGGGAAGTCAAATGGATTGGCCTGAGAGAATTAATTACTTCTGATTGAGAGGGATCAGAGAAGGCTTCATGGAGGAGATCATACCTGAGCTAGGCCTTGGAGGAGAGGGAGGAGGTCAATGAGCATAGATGAGGGGAGATGTGGGCTCCAGGTGTATGCCAAAAAAGCCAGGAGGGAGCATGGAGGAGCATCAGGTCAGGAAAAAGTGAGTGGTCCAATTTGACTGGAACATATTATGTATAAAGAACTGTAGAATAAGGCTGGAAATTAAGCCGGGGCCATATTGTGGGAAACCTGAGAGCTTGCTTAAGGAATTTGTATTTTATTCCTCAAGAGATGGGATTGGGAGTGAGGGTTGTGATGGCAATGAGGTGCTAAGTTGAGGATGTCTCTGAACCTTTTGCCCATGAAGGATGTTCAGAAGTCACTCATTCAAAGAGTTTGTGTTAGAACTAATCCTAACTCTCCTATGTTTGTTGAATTAAATGGAATTGAGTTCTGTAGTGCCTTGCCTTCCCTAACGGGGGTAAAGGGAAAACCCACCTGGCAAGCTGAGGCCAAAGCTTCCGGGATCGACTATTCCCCTGCAATATAGATGAGCTTAAAATATCACCAGGAAATGTCTAATTAAAACTGTTGAACAGCTTAGCCATCTGCAGCCTCATACATACCAGAGATGTCATTGCTCTGCATTTGAGGCCCTTCAAGAAATGGCATGTGTAGATATGCATAGATTTAGAGCTCCAGCTGTAAGTAGATTAGAGATTTTCTGGTCCAGCTCCTGTCTTCTTTACATATACTGGGGGCTTCCCCCTTCCTCATTCTTTCAACTCCCTAGAATTCTCTGTCTACCTCCAGGGGACTGTGTTGGAGCTGAGGTGGGGACAATTTAGGTCACATATGGACTAATTTCCTGAGAGTGTTCTAAGTGACTGATAAGCTAATACCACAGAGTGCCATACTGTAAGTAAGGTGGATTTTGTTATTCTTTTTTAGATAATATTTCCCAGGATCCATGGCCAAAACAATCTCCAATTCCCAGGCTCATGGCTTATAACAGTTTCTACTGTGACTATGCAGTGAGATATCGGGATGCCATAATATAACACTTATAATTTACTATACTTGCACTGTGCTAGGTCATGACGATATTGCTAAAGTTAACCTGTGAGCTTATTGTTGGCAAATTGCCTTTTTTGTGTGCTTCTCTATAAATCAAGAGAGCACTGGTCAGTGAGTGGGGATTTGGAGAATGCATAGGGAAATGCATGTGTGTCTGCCTCAACTGGCCCCCATGGAGGCTTGAGGGGATTTAGAGGAGTGCACAAGCTGGAATGCTGTGCATGTCTCGATTGGCTCCCATTGGGATGTAAGGGTTGTTGACTCCCCTTCTTGGTGGCCCCTGTGAGAAGGGTGATTAGGGGATCCCATAGGAGTTATTGCTCCCATTATCAGCAACCCATTGAGATAAAATAGTAAGAATAAATTATTTTTAAACCCCTCTGAAGCTATCTTCCTGACCTTCTCGCTGCCCAGATCGAGAGTGAACCTGCTAGAGGCTGGAGCCCAAAACCTCCAGTGGTGGCTTCTGCCTAACAATTGGCATAGTTGGTGTTTCTCGTGTTACACATACCCAGTAGAAAAAAAAGTCAGCTTTCAGCTGGCAGCTCTATTGGGTACAGCCCTCTGAGTGACAGGATGTGAATTCATTGGTGGGTAACTGAATGGCCCTTCTCTAACCTTAGTGATAGTGATGGGGCTACTGATCCCTGGGTGGAATGTAAGACTTAACTAGCTGAGCTTTTTCTGGGGCCTCTTGTTACCTTTGTCTTTGTGTGTTTCCTTCTTTTAGCATTGACCTTGTGAGCAATGAAAACTCTGAAGAGATTACAGCTTTGGCAGCTGGTGTCTTCACCTTCCCTGGCATCTGAGCAGCAGAATTTTTGGGAAATTTCCTAAGCACTGGCAAGAATGGGCTGGCACCATGGAAAGAGCTGATGTTGGAGAGAGACCAGCAAAGGTGGTGGAGTAGGAGAAAGCAGTATAGTGCAGTTCTGCCCCACAACTGGGCCTACAAAGAGCACCAGAAAGTGTTCATTGGGAAATCCAAGGAAAAAGCAGTATGGAGAGACACACAGAGGTCCGTGGGCACTGGGGAGGGCACAACTCCAGGTTTCCTGTTGGTCTGAGCCTGCTATCTTGATTACTCAGCTGCACCAGGCTGGAAACTGAATCCCCCACCTCACTTAGAGCCACACAGCTGCTTCTCCCTTCTGTTACTGCTCCTTGCCCTGTATATAGGGCCTAGTACACAGCTGAAGGTAGTCTTGTTAAGTCGTGTCTGACTCTTCAAGACCCCATTTGGGGTTTTCTTGGCAAAGATTCTGGAGTGGTTTGCCATTTCCCTTTCCAGCTCATTTTCCAGATGAAGAAACTGAGGCAAATAGGGTTAAGTGACTTGCCCAGGGTCACACAGCTAGTAAGTGTCTAAGTCAGGATTTGAATTCAGGAAGATGAGTCTTCCTGACTTCAGGCCCAGCACTCTGTGCACTATGGTGCCACCTAACTGCCCTGAAGTTAGCCTTAGCCTAGGCACAAGTTGATTCCTCAGTCTCAGGAAATCAAACAGGTGGCCAGTGGATATTTCCACATACATAGTAGAATAGAAAAACTGCATATCCTGTTTAGGTATTATTTAACATGTAACTTTTAAAGCTCTCTTACTAGTTGGTGATTCTTTTTTGGCCTTCCTTTTGTTTTCTTCTGTACTTTAATAAAAAAGATAATAGCATTTATTCATGTAAGGCAATCCAAAAACCAGTGTGGGGAAGCTCCATGGAGGGCATTTGGGCAAAGATCAGCATAAGGAGAAACAGAAGTGTTATTAGGCGAAGACCATCTGGACAGAATCCAAAGAGAGAAGGAGACAGAGAAGATAAACTTTCTGTTGGAAATGTCAAGATCTTTTTTTCTTTTTCTTCTGGCAAGGGGGCTCTGGGGTGGAATGAAGGATAATCTTAGTGATTTTATATTCCTTAACTTTCCAAAGCAAGGCAAAAGCATGCTGAAGGTTTTCCCTTTGGCCAAGGGAAGGCAAAAGTAGTTTCTGTCTGGTGGGGGGCTGGCAGGGTATACTGGGTCATATTGCCTTCTTTGTTCTTTTACTCCACACAGCCTCAAAGGGAACTCCCTCTGTAGATGGAACCCTGGGAAGATACTAGAGAGGAAGTCATTTCCACTGGGAGGAGAAGGGGAGTGGCTGGAGAAGAGAGACTCCATCCAAGGGTGGAGGCCATCCAAGCAGGAGCAGTTTAACTTTCTTCTTCAAACACCACAAGCCCCTTGACACTGCTATGGTTATCTATGTAACATGCTGGAGACATAAGCTCTTCTGGAGTATAAGCTCCTTCAGGAGGACAGGACCATTTTTGCCTCTGTGTCCTCAGTGCCTGGAACATAGCAGGTGATTAATAAATATCACTTAATTGATTAATCATCAACATAAGTGCTTTCTTCAATGATGAAGATTGAAGCCAGTTCACTCTCTCATGTCCTGAGCAATTCTTGTCCATGTCTTCCTATAACTAGTCCAAACAGATTTCACTTAACATACTGGAATGGGGCCTTCCCCAGCTCTCTTGATATTGAATGGATACAAATGGAGTCCATGGGCTGCCCATCAGTTTTGGCCCTCCTTTCTTTCTAGTCAAACATGTCTTTATGTCTCTGATAACATCCTTTATATTCCTCTTGTCTAATTCTTGATTGATATTATATTGTATCTTATTCACACCTACCATGTGGTTCTTCATTGTGCCTCAACTTTTATTCTTCAGGGACCACGAATCTGTGACTCATATTCATACATCAGAAAAATATTGTTTAAAAGAGGAGCTTTTGTTTCAGGGAGAAATTTGAGGTCACTAAAAGCATGGCAGAATTTCCTAAAGGTAATCTAGCCTGCTGTTTTCCTGGTCAGTTCTGGGACCAGCTTATTGTCCACGCGCAGCATCTGTTCAAGACACATGTACTATTGGACCAAATCTATGGACTGTCCATCCAACAGCATGATATGACAGCAATAAAATCTAATGCAATCTTGGGTTTCATTAAGAGAGCTGATAGTCCCATTGAACTCTGCTATGGTCAAACCACATATGGAATAATTCATTCAGCTCTGGATGTCACATTTTAGGAAGGATGTTGACAAGATGGGAAGTGTCTAGAGGAGGACAGGATGCTGAAGGCCCTCACATTTATACCATATGAACATCAGTTGAAGAAACTGGAGAGGTTAATCCTGGAGAAGAGAAGACATAGAAGGGCACCTGTCTTTACAGGCATTCCTCACTGAAGGAAGTAGTAACTCAATGGGAAAGATGGAAAGACAGGAGGTTATAATAAGAGGGGAATTTCAAAGATTTAGATCTTGACAGTACCTTGTTCATAGTAGATACTTTAAAAATGTGAACTTAACTGAATTAATTAATTTAGAACTGGAGCAATTTTGGGTAATGTCCTTTATAGGTGGCTAAGGTAGAATGAAGTTGAGAATCAAAAAATCTGAGATAATGATAATAATAATAATAATAATAGCTAGCATTTATATATATGCCAGGTCCTGTACTAAGCACTTTACAAATATCTCATTTGAAGATGAGAAAGTAACTAGAAAATCCATTTATATTCATGTTCAGTACGCAAATAAAATTTGCCTTCCTCTCTCTCTTAGAAAAACAAAATAAAAAATGTGAAAAAATTTTGAATTTCATTCAGTATTTCCATATTTATTTCCATCTTTGCAAATTTCATGTCAATCAGCAGCAAACATTTATTAGGGGCATATTTATGCGAAAGACAGATACTACTTGTCTAGGGGTTAAGGAACCTTCGGCCTCAAGGCTACATGTGACCCTGTAGGTCCTTAAATGCAGCCCTTTGATTGAATCCAAACTTCGCAGAACAACTCCCCTTAATAAAAGGATTTGTTCTGTAAAACTTGGACTCAGTCAAAAGCCTGCACCCAAGGACCTATGTGGCCTTCAGGCCACAGGTTCCCCACCCCTACAGCTAGTCCCTTGGTCTGTACACATTTGGGAGGAATTATTGCTTCTCCCTCCTTTGGGTGCAATTCAAAGAATTTCGAACATAGATATTTTTCCCTGAGTCAGTTAGGTGTAACCTTCTCCATGCTCCCACCTGTCCTAATGTTGCTCTGCCAAGCCCAACTTTCCAGATGTTCTAAGTTGAGATATATCATTTGGGAAGGTCCTTGGAACAAAACCACCCTCCACCCACCACCAACCCCCTAAGGATATCATTTGTAACTATTTCTTCTTAGTTGTATAACTTCAGTTTTTTTTTTAACAAGTCCTGGGTCTGTTTGACGTCTGAAACCAATTATTTATTATCTGTTTTCTCAGGGCTTCCATCGATAAACTGCAAACTTACCTGCCTCTTAAGGCCTGCATCAGTGTTTTCTTTCACACTATAAAACACAAATTCCATTTGGTCATTACTCATAATTCCAATTCACTGTTTTCTTAATTTAACCTATCTATGCTTCACCACCAGATCCAGGCCTCCAAATAATCTTTATTTCTTTTGAATAATCCTAAAGTTTTCTTATTTCCTTTGCTTTTCTCCCAGTTATCCTCATGAAATGCTATTATGAATGAATCAGTCTCCAGAGTTTATGCTCAAAGCCAGTTTATAAGGGAGACCTTTTCATAATGTGGTATCTTGGTATAGCAGTAACCAGCCTCTCCCCGATATGGAATCCAAGACACATTAGCCTTATATTAAATTTTGTTCCATATAGGATAGTATTATGGAAAAATTCCAGAGTACTTAACAAAAATGAAAATGATATCAATTCCCTCTTGTGAGTAAATATTACTTTCATTTGGGAACCCAGGTAAGTTAGATCCTTACCTAAGGTCTTGAGGAAATCTTTCATTATCTTGCATCTGGACTCCAATTCTGCTTTGTGTGGCCATTTTAGAATACTCCCAAGATAGTTTCCTATGAAGGAAAATCGGCACATGGTGAATATATCCTGCGGCAAACATTCTGAAACAAGGCAACTTCTTTGGGTATCCTTAGTGTTCTTTTAAGAGTATTGTGGCAGGAGAAAACACACTAAATTCAATGCTGCAGAGCATTTTATTTTGGATTTCTTTGTTTATGCTCATTGTATTTGAAGTTTTCAGAGAAGCACTAAGAAAATGTGAGGATGGCTGAGTAACACTTCACCCGATAGACTAGGGAAGTTAGCTGGGACTGCTAAAATGAAAAATCCATTAGAATCTTGGGAAGCCTAGTGAAGTCTCAGAACCTCCTTTTTATATAATAGTTGATTGAGAAGTACTGTATGTAAAGTCCCATATCACCTGCTAGTTTGGTGAAATGCAAGATGGACTGAGTTACAAATCAAATAAAAGATAGAGTCATATGCTGGCAAGGGTACTGGACCAGAAAGTAGGAGACCTGAATTCTAGTCCTAACTCTGAGGCTGATCTGCTATGAGAGACCTTGGACAAGTACTTTACCTCTCTGCATCTCAGCTTTTTTCAGCTATCACATGAGAATTATAATATCTACTCACAGGTTTGTTTTAAAAATGAGAATAAAATCAGATTATGGACATGGAACTCTGAAAAATGTAAAGTGTCATAATAATGGGAGGTTTTAATCAGGGCGGTGCTGGTAAATAACAATTGGCTATACGTGGAACACACTTTTTAATTTGAATTAATATTTTCTCCATCACTTCCTTAATTCTAGATAATCAAAGAGAAAATAAATCAAACACTGATTTGTAGCATTTGCTGATTTTAGAATTGTAAATGCTGATACTGAAAATTTAACAACAGACTCTCTCTGCTCCTTCAAGGTAGCTCTAGCATATCCCTAATTTTAGTACTGAAAGATGCAGTTCCTGCCTTGAAAGAGCTAAAAATTACAATTTAGATGTGAAATATAAGCAGTGAAATTCTGTCATTTCAAAGTTCAGAAAGTGACAGGGGAGGAGGTATAGGCATCATTCAAAATGGTAGCTTTGAAAATAAGATCCTCAGTCTCAAAGTACACTTATGGCAGGAATTGGAAAGGGCAATGATATAGGATTGGCTCTAAGCATAAGAGAAGGTGGGACATGTTTAGCTGATATGATATCAAGGGTACCAAAAAGTCACTTTGTCCAAAAATACTGGTCTTCAATAAGTCTGAAAATTTGACCATTAATCACTCCTTTGGGTTAAGGCATTGACAGTCTTGCATACAATTCAAATATTACCTGGAAGGGTGAAACATTAAGCCATTAGTGGCCATTAACAACTTAGCCTTTAGCTTAAATTCTTTTATTAGATTAGCTGACTTAAGAGCAAGACTCTGAAGGAATAGTTATATAAGACAGGGAAGATTTTGTGAGGGCATGAGTTGGAAAGTAGGACAGAAAGGTCCAGAGCATGGAATACTTTTTCAGTTGAGCAAGGCAGGGTGGAACACCACACTTTCGGAGGGATCTTAGAAAGCCAAGGGATAGGAGTGTGGTGAAAGGGGCAAAAGGACCAAATGAAGAATCATTACAAACTAGTGTTGGTCTCCTTGAAGCCTTGTGGAAGACTCTGCTGGAGGTTAGGGGCCACAGAAGGCCTGAGAATGAGATCCAAGTGTCACAGCACTGGTTCAATTGAAACTAATGTTCAGGAACTGAGAGTGGATTTGAGAAGAGGTACTCAGAAACTCGAATGGATCTGTGATCTCATGGATTTGGATGTTCCCTCCAATGAAGTAGATCAACGGTGTCAAAAGTGGGGGAGGGGGTGTCACTAAACCATACATAAGGATCCCTCCACAGGGTGGATAGTGACTTAAAAAAACTACTTACCATTATCTACATTCTATTGTATTTTTATTTATTTTGTTAAATATTCCTAATTACATTTTAATCTGGTTTAGGTCACACTCAGGAGTACTGAGGGGCCAGGATGCCTGTTTGATATCTTTGGTGTAGATTATAATAATAACAATAGCTAACATTTATACCACATTTTAAGGTTTGCAAAGCACTTTACAAAGTTATTTCTTTTGATCCTCACAACAATCCTGAGAGGTAAAGCCTATTGTTATCCCTGTTTTGCAGTTGAGGAAAGTGAGACAAGAGATTTAAGTGATGTCCCCGTAATTGTCTGGGGCCACATTTAGTTGAACCTCTGTCTTACTGACTCCAGGTCAAATGCTTTATCCAGCCTGCTGCCTGCCTAGCTGCCTGCTAATCCTATATGACTTGTTCATATACTCCCATAACTTTGCCATAGGGGTCCCCCCAAAAGTCTTTCCTCTATTTCTCCTGACAATTGCAAGAATACCAATGGAGCACTTGAGCTGGCTACCTTTAGTTATTATTCAACTTCTGATCAGCCCACCTTCTATTTCTAACATACATTTCCTTTATTCTAGTTCTTCTCCATCATTGGATATATGTTGCAGTCTGTTCACATCCACTAATACATAAGAACTAATCATAACAAAAAAGGCTGGCTTCTTAAGTAGGTAGTTGCCTATCTTTATCCTACTGGCCTGTTATTAATGCCTGAAATTCCACTCTTAGAGATTTTTGTGTCTTCAAGGACCTCCTCTTGAAATTCTGTTATTTCTGGAAAGGATAATTCCTTAAATTATTATCAACTAAGACCTTAGAAAGGATTAGTTTGACAAGCCACTGAGAACAGCTTGGCATAGTGTAAAGAACTCTTGACTTGGGATCAGAAGAAATGGGTTTGAATCTCAGCATGGTTATTCAGTACCCATGTGGCCTTGGGACAAGTTATCCCTTTGATTCTCAGTTTCCTCCTCTATAATATCAGTGGAGGTTGGACTAGATGAGATCTAAGGCCTCTTCAATGTCTAATATTCTGTGATTTTGGGATACTATTAAGTTGCTTTGTGAAAAATGGTAACTTGAGAGCTGTGGAAAGACTCTCTGAAAGGCTAGGTGAGTAGTCCAGGCTTTCTAGACTAGACAATTATGCTGAGTTCAAGAAGATTGGTGATAAATTTCTCCTCTGTCTTCTCCGACCTTTCCTAGAAGAAGCTTCCATCAGCTAGGACAAGAAAAACTCTGGTCCAATCAGGAAATAGATGAATAAACTACTTCACCTATATCTCCCCAGCAATGATGATGATCTTCTGGACAAGAATTCTTGAAGGGGTGAATAAGGGTTCTGTCCACTTGTCCAAGGGTATGACGGGTCATTTTCCAGGCAGGCATTGATGCTTTTTCTGCCAGTGTCTTTGGGATTTGGGGATCCAGTGATGGCAGCTGAGGTAAGATAACACCAGCCTGCACAACCTCCTAGCCCAGTATTCTTCCTATAGTCTTCTGGTAAGAAGGACCCACAAGTTGATATTCATACTTACCTACCACTTCCTCCTATCCTTGATCCTCAGTCCTCCATTTTTAGGAGAAATATTTAACCCAAAGGACTTTAGCTTCTGGTCACACTTCCTACTTCCTCCTTTACTCTTGTTGTAGTCCGGTGGGGAGGTCTATGGGGGATGTTATTCCATTCCCTAGGCAACAGACTGTACCACAATAAGACCAGGGGCAGGGGAAGGGGCAGTGGCAGGACAAGACAGTTCTCAGACAGAATGACAGAAAAGGACATCAAATTCTTCTTTCCTTTTTTTTTTTAATAAATTAATTTATTTTGATTTATTAATCACTTCCATATGCTTTTGAGTTTAATTTTTTTCTTCTCCTCCCTCTGTACCACCCTCCCCAAGATGAGCACAATCTGATATAGGCTATACATATACATTTCTAGGACATCAAATTCTGATACAATTCCCTGAAATTTTAATGTCTCTCTACTTTCCCTCACCTGAATAATACCCAGGAAGCAGTATTTTGCTTGATGCCTTGCTATTGTTATTTTTTTTTTACCCCAAGTATTTTTGTGTTAGGCAGAGAAAAATGGTTTAGTCCATGTAGAAATAAGTTCTTTATGTGTGGTAGCCTGGCTTGAACCTGTACTTGCTCACATTAGGTCAGGAATGGAGACTGTTTAGAAGATAAATGGGGAGTTGGGGTAGGGGTTCATATTAAAGATAGAATTTCTTAGTGCAGTGGCTCCCTAGTGCCATTACTTGCTTTACAAATACAGTGGGTAGGATTAGCACCTTTACCAGGCAAAATCATGGAACAGTGGGCTTGTCTTCAGCAGTCTTCTCTTGACGGGACCTCATGCTCCAACATCCTTCCTTCCTCCTGCCTCCCAAAGCTCCTATTCTCAGTGCTTCCACCTTAACTGTCTATCTGAAGGGCAGTTCAAACCTTTAATGGGAAGGAGAGCTCTTCAAATGTGTGTGTGGTTTTTGTTTTTTTTTTTTTTTTAACCCCTCTACTCTCTTTTCCTAGGTAATCTTATTCACTCCCACGGCTTCAACTACTGCTTCGATGCAGACGACTTCCAAATTGAAACATTCAGTCCTGACTCCAGGCCTACACCTCCAGCTACCTGAAGGACCATGTATTTTTATCTCTTCCCCCTTCCTCATCCCCCTATACACAGAATAAATGTTTGGAAACTGTGCCATACAATACAAAGAACAACTGCATTTGGACCTATAGGATCTGGCTTTAAATTTGGCTATACTATATACTATTCTCTGTGTGACTTTGGGAAATCAATCATACGCATTTTTTTTTTACTACTATGAGCTATCTCGTTAAAATGTTAGACAAAAATGAAACAATCCTCACCCTCTCATTCCATAATGTTAGACAACATGCACACATATAAGTACATGCAAAATAAGTACAAGGTAATGCTGAGGTGAGAGACAATATGGAGTATTGGGCCTGGAGTCAGGAGACCTGAGTTCAAATCCAGCCTCAGATAGTTACTAGCTGTGCGACCCTGGGCAAGTCACTTAACCCTGTTTGCCTCAGTTTCCTTGTCTGTAAAATGAACTAGAAAAGAAAACCACTCCAGTAGCTTTGCCAAGAAAATCCCAAATGGGGTCATGAAGAGTCAGACATGATTGAACAACAACAAAAAATGAATCCCTACTAGAATCCTGGCCTAGTAACTCTTAGTTCAGTACCTTCTTCTGCAACCAAAACATCACTTTTTACATTCAATTTCTGAGCTTTTAAAAGTATGTTTGAAAGCAAGCAGCTATTCATGGGAACAGTATGGTAGAGTGAAAAGAGCAATAAATTGGGGATCAGAGCACCAGAGTTCAAATCTTGGATAGTCTACTTACTACCCTGGGTGATCTTGGGTAAGTTACTTGGCCAAGTTACTTAGCCTACACAGGCCTCTGTTTTCTCATCTGTAAAATGATAGGGTTGGTCTAGATGAACAGTTCTCTAACTTATGCTCACAATAAAGACCCTTTACACACTTAAAAATTACTGAGAACCCTTTTGCACTCTTAAAAATTGAAGGTCCTAAAGAGCTTTTATTTGTGGGTTATATCTATTAATATTTACTGTAGTAGACATTAAAACAGATACATTTTTAAAATGTTTATGAATTCTTCTAAAACTAACAATAAAACTCATCACATGTTAGTGGAGGTAACTTTTTTTAGTGAAAAAAAACCACTATATTTTCCAAAACAAAAAAAATTGAGTGAGAAAAGAGGCATTGTTTTACATATTTTTGTAAATATCTTTAATATTTGGCTTAATAGAAGACAGCTGGATTCTCATATCTGCTTCTGCATTCAATTAGTACGTTGTTTTAGTTGGAGCATATGAAGGAAATTCAGCTTTACATGGATATGTAGTTGAAAAGGGAGGAGTGTTTTTAAAAAATGCCTAATATTATTATGAAAAAAGTTTTGATCTTATGGACCCTGAAAAGGTCTTGGGGACCCCCAAGGGTCCTCAGATCACACTTTGAGAACTGCTGGTTTAGATTCTAAGGTCTCTTCCAGGTATTATATTATCCTATGATATTCCCTCAGGATACCGTTCTCAACACTGGCTCAGATAGAGTAAAAGAGATAGCAAAAACTTTAATCCCAAGCAGTCAAATAATCCTTGTGTAGGCCCTCTAAGAAATCACCCCAGTGATGGCAACTAGTTGGGAAATGGGGTTGTGATTTACTAACATGGTAGAAGGGAAAAGATATTAGAAAACAGTATACATCATAAGAGAAAGTGCAACCTTTGAGTACTTGTAACTAGTCTGCCATCTGATAAGTGGTTAGCAAATGCCAACTGCTATATTAACATCACTTGTTTCTCGTATTGACCAACCAGCTCTAAAATATTGTTTCTAAAATATTGTCTGGCTATGGCCCTAATGTCTTTTTCTGCATTAAAATGAAACAAAACCAATGATGAGAAATGTTTATCATCTGCATTCTCTACTAGTACTCATGAAATGCTCTCTTGAAGTTTTTGTTTATATGAATGAAAAATGGACTGATGATTTTTGTGTTATCCCTCCCAGGTGTATTTACACTTAAAAGAATCAATCAATTAATACTTATTTATTAAGTGCTTACTATCAGATACTGTATTAAATGATGAGAATATAAAGAAAAAGCAAAAATAGTATTTGCCTTTAAGGACCTCTCTCCCCAATGAGGGGACACCACAAACATAAATTAGAATGCACAAAATAACCATAGGGTAGATGAAAGGACACAGAATGACCTCCTAAAGGCGGTAGCTCTTAAAGTTTTAAGTAAAGCCAGAGATCCCAGGTGTCAGTGCCTTAAATCCAAAAGAATGAATCTTTACACACTAGCAATTTAGGGCAATATGAAAGACCAAAAAAGGAAGATATTTTGGAGCAGGTGTTCTACTCAGCAGTTTTCCAACTATGCTATATGGCCCTCAAATTATAAACCTTATTATTATGCTACTTCATGTGCCTCTGGGCAGAAAAATTGACTATAACTGGGGTCTAATTCATTATCTTGGGTTAAAGACTATGTCATTCTGCTTCTTTCTCAGTTGCTTAAGTCGGTTGACATACTGCAATATTTATTTCCCTTCTGAAAGGGAAGAGGGTATGGCATTTGCAAGATTCCCTTCCTTCAAGGAAGCCAAACTTTAAGTCATCGAGAGGTAAAGAATAATCTCAGAAAAGATATGAAACTGCCTTTCCCTATTCATGGTGGTAATGGTTGAAATGCATACAATGTCAGATTTTGTCACTACATCAGGTGTTTCTGTTTTTGTGTTTGTGTGTGTGTGTGTGTGTGTGTGTGTGTTTTTGGTTTGGTTTGGTTTGGTTAAAGGAAAGGCAAGGTTCAGTTCAAATGAGGAGGGAAGACATTTACAAAAATTATTATTATATATTAACAGAAAATTAAAAAAAAAACTTCCCTTCCTTCCCGCCTTCCTCCCTCCCTCCTTTCCTTTCTCTTCCCTTTCCTTCCTCCTTCCCTTTCTTTTCTCCTTCCTTCCTTTTTTCTTCTCTCCCTCTGTCTTCTCCAACTTCTTCCTCTAATAATAAGAAACAAAAAAAAAAGAAAAGTGGGAAAATATTCTCATAAACTCAAGTCCCTGAAGGCTCCAAATAGGATTCACAGATGTTAGCTGTCCCCACAACATCAAAGACAAAGTAAGAGATACCCAAATTCTTAAGTATGCTGTTTATAAACCAGAATTCTTTTTTTTAAAAGGCATTTTTTTCTCATAGAGAAATAATAGCAATATCTCACCTTTAAATATCACTTTACAGAGCATATTTTTTCTCAAAACAATCCTGTGAGTAGGTAGTGTGAATACTATATCTTCATTTTACAAATGAGAACTTGATCTACTTCAGTTATAAAAAGGCAGCCTCGTGATGCCATTGAACATGTATTATTTTACCTAGAGGCTCCTCCTTTAGTTATAGCTTAGGAACACAATTACTTTCAATTCCATAATATATGCTCAGAGCAGAGCAAAATTTCAACCTAAAAGCTTACAGCAAGGGGGCAGCTAGGTGGCGCAGTGGATAGAGCACCGACCTTGAAGTCAGGAGGACCGGAGTTCAAAACTGGCCTTAGACCAAACACTTGACATTACTAGCTGTGTGACCCAGGGCAAGTCACTTAACCCCAATTGCCTTTTTAAAAAAAATTTGATAGCAGTGAAATTGGTAGATAGGGTAGGAAGAGAGAAAGTATGGGTGACACAAATCAGTTCATTAAAAAAAATCAATAGCTCTGCTGGTATAAGGTTCAGTGGATGAAGAAGTTTAAACTATTGTCCAAAATTAGGTTTTGGATCACAGGTACATTTTGATTAGTCACTGTTTTCTTTGGGGCAAAATAACATAGAGAAAGAAGGAAACACGCATTTATTAAGCACTAGGTGCCAGGCACTATGCTAAGCACTACAAATATTTCGTTTGATCCTCACAACAACCTGAAGAGATAGGTGCTTTTACGACTCCCATTTTACTGTTGGGGCAACTGAGGAAGAAAGAAGTTGTAACTCGCCCAGGGTTACATAGCTAGGAAATGTCTGAAACTGGGTTTGAACACAGGTATTCCTGACTCCAAGCCCGGCATTCTCTCCATTGCACCAC